AGATGAATATAATAAGCTTGTTGCCTATGCCAATGAATTGAAACTTAGCAATCCTGGGAGTGATGTGATAATTAACTTATCAAAAGATGCTCTTGAAGAAGGGAAAAGGAGGTTTTTAAGGATGTATATTTGTTTTCAAGCAATGAAGTCTGGGTTTAAGAGTGGTTTGAGGCCTTTCATTGGATTGGATGGAACATTTTTGAAAGGGAAGGCTAAAGGTCAGCTGTTGGTGGCTGTTGGTCAAGATTCTGCCAATCATTTCTATCCATTGGCTTGGGCTATTGTTGACAAAGAAACAAAACTAACTTGGAAGTGGTTCTTAGGTCACCTACAGACTTCACTAGACCTGAAAATGGGTGAAGGGATCACATTTATATCAGATATGCAGAAGGTATGTACTGTTTATTTGTACTGTTATTTTCAGTTTTTTTGTTGATTTATGTTTACTTTTATCTGATGTTATCTACTGCTTTTTGTAGGGGTTGATTGACTCAATCCAAACTGTTCTTCCAGAGTCTCACTTTAGATTTTGTGTAAGACATATAGAAGCAAATTGGTGTAAGAGATGGGGTTCTGGTGAATTCAAAAAATTACTTTGGTAGGCTGCATAGAGTACTTATAAGAGGACTTCAAAGAACAGATAAAGAATATGGGTGAAGTAAATGATGATGGAAAGGAAGCTGTGGAAGATTTGTTGATGTATCCACCAAAATGTTGGAGTAGGGCATTCTTTGATACTGTTTGCAAGAACCAAGCTGTAGACAACAACTTGACTGAGTCATTCAATGCTTGGATCTTGCAAGCAAGGCACAAGCCAATCATTAAGATGCTTGAGGATATTAGAATCAAGGTGATGAATATGATTAATGAACATGAAGCTGAGGTGATGTCATGGGGAAATGAATACAGTCCTAAAACCATGGAGTTGTACAACCAATTCATGAGGATTGCATTGAAGTGTCATGTTAATGGCAGTGCAGACCATAGATATGAGGTGACTGAAAATAGTGACAGGCACATTGTGAATTTGAGATTGAAGAAATGTACCTGTAGGGCATGGGATCTTTGTGGCATTCCATGTCCTCATGCAATATGTGCATTATTGCACAAGAAGGTGGACCCTCTAAGTCAGATTCATTGGTACCTTACCAAAGAGACTTATCTCCAAATTTACTCACATAAGTTACAACCAGTAAGAGGAGAAAAGTTCTGGAAAATTGAACCTTCACAGTACATGGCTCCACCACCTTTGGTAGAGATGAGTGGGAGACCAAAGGTTAAGAGAACAAGAGAAAAAAATGAGGAACTTAATAGGCAAGGACAATGGTCTCAGTCAAGGAAAGGGAGGGTAATGACATGTAACAACTGTGGTGAACCTGGACACAATGCTAGAGGGTGTGCAAAGGTAATCAAAACCATAACTTTTTCTATCCTTCTTTTTGTTTCAACAACTAACCAAAACTTTCTATCTTACTAATAGCATTCTAAAGGAAAGCAGCCCATTAGAGGAAAGAAGAAGGGAAAGCAGACAAAGAGGAAGAGAACTTTACTTGATGAAGCTGATGATGAACAGCCCAGATCTCCCTCTGCTGCACCAGTGCCGCAAGAAGCCAATGTTGAGGAAATTCCTTTGTCAGCCCCTCAGCCAAGTCAGCCTACTCAGAAAAGTCAATCAATTCAAGTCAGCAGTCAGGTGCCCACCTGAAGAGCACGGGAATACAATTCAAGTTCAGCAGTCAGGAGCCCATCTGGGAGAGCACGGGAATACAGTTCAAGTTCAGCAGTCAGGCGTCCACCTGGGAGAAAGGGAAAGCATCTCAAAAATCAGTTCAAGTTCAA